AACCTTATTTTCAATAAGCAATCCTGAAAAATATTTGGGGGTGCTTAACTTTTTTCCAGGTGTATATTTCAAAGTTTCAAAAAACTGGAAATAGATAAGTAACAACATTTTGTATAATTTGTATTCTTATCACTTTCAATTTTTCATTATCAGATTATTCTTAAGCTACCGTATTTTTATTGTGCATATTGTGATGCTGTCACTCCAAGGTGTTTATTGGTTGTGGGCTCATAAAAGTAGTTTTGGAGCAAGAAAGCACGGGCTTGGAGAATGATTGCCTCTATAAATTGACATCCAGACAGATGTGACTGGAGATGGTGGCTGGCCAATTGAGCTACAAGCACTTTAAGTTTGTTGTCCTCCTCGAACACTGGAGATGGTGAACGTATCTATTACCATAATCCACCTGAAGAATGAAGTATTTGTAAACAGGTGTAAGTCTGGATGTAGGTGGGGAAGGGATATGGCCAAGGTCATGTGGGATTGAATGATCCAGCATGACAGCTAGAGTTGCAGTGAATTGAAAGAAGTCTGTGGATTACTGGACATATTCCACTAATATGGCAAATGACACTAAAGGGAATACAAATGGACAAGTCCAAAGAATCAATGGACCCAAAACTTATAGAACCTCTCACATGAATTAAAAGGAAAAATGAGAGCCTTGAAAATCTGAAGCTCCATATATCAGACATAAAGAAGAGGGCTAAGACTACTCAGTAATCGATTTGATAAAAACTCCCAAATCAGTCATACTGAGAGAGACTCTGTAATGCTTAGAGAGTCCAACCAGACAATTGAAATAAGCAGATTTCCAAAGTAAAAGGAATATTGTAGAAAGGGATGTCTTCCAGAACAGATGGCTTGTCAGGAGGGAGGTGCTGTGAAAAGGCTAAGAGATAAATAGCAGGATGGAGAGGGGGACTTAACAAGTAATATACTGGTTCCTCTTGAATCTTGATAAATGGAAACCAAAATAAAAAGAGATCATTGCTGACTAATTGCTTTAGCTTGAATTCCCAAAATAACATATTCTAGATTTTCACATTGCTTGTATTTCACCCCCCTCTCCCCAATAAGCTTACTTTTATATTTTGGTTTCTTGACATTTAAAATGATGTAGTTACAGTTGATGCTTCTTGGCCTCTTTTGCCTTGATTGAGTGCCTTGCAAATTTTATAAATGGTTACTGATGTTTTCTAGGTTCAGCAAGTCATTGACCAATTAAACATTATACCTTTATATAGTCATTTACTGTTGTATTGTAGGTTCAAGTTCATCCAGCAATGAAACATTATGCTTCCAAAGAAATTTTTTTAATGATTAAAAAAATGTATTGCAGGTTCAGGCTCAGGAAGTCATCGACCAATTAAACAGTACATCTCCCCTCCAAATATTGTAGCACTGAGAGGTCAAGCATTGGAGCTAAGCTGTATTTATGGTGGCACGTGAGTGATAAAGGAACCATTAATATACAGGGTGTCCACAAAGCTTTTTCCTGTGTAGTCACCATCTTTGTTCAAACTTCAGTCGTTAGCAACTGGACACCGTGATTACAGTCTGTAAATCAAGAAAAAACTTTGTTAGTTAAGCAACAAGATGCTAAAAACTGCATAATTCTAGCTCTTTTCATTTTGTTGTAATAAACTTTTAAAACCAGAACAGGACTTTGTGGACACACTGTATATTTTCTCAGATTATCTTTTTTTTTATAAATTGATCATCAGTAGGTTATGTATGTAAGCTAGTAGAATCTAATATTAATTTCCTCTGTAGTTATTGAGCAGAAAACTGTACAAAATATTTCATAATGATTTTCATAATATTCCTAAAAACTTCAAAGTAGTGAGTAGGTCACAACAAGTCTTTTGTTCTTAAAGAACTCAAATTATGGAATTAAATAATGGTGATATTCCCAGTATTCTGTTTATATGGGTGGGTCAAATGGAGTATGCCACAGCCTTTTTTTAGTGATATTCCCAGTATTCTGTTTATATGGGTGGGTCAAATGGAGTATGCCACAACCTTTTTTAGATGATATTCCCAGTATTCTGTTTATATGGGTGGGTCAAATGGAGTATGCCACAACCTTTTTTAGGTGATATTCCCAGTATTCTGTTTATATGGGTGGGTCAAATGGAGTATGTCACAACCTTTTTTTTACAGAGTGACATTTAATTGAACAATTTTATTATGCATGTAGGTAGCTAAACTGGGAATAAAAACTTAAGTTATAATTCATATATATATATATATATTATCTGATATTGTAATTTCTTAATTTTCAAAGGAAATGTTTGAATAAATTCAATCTCCATTTTTTTCTTTAGATTACAGGATACATTTTCACTCTGTCTTCTCCCTTATGGATTTTCTCTCTTCCCTTATAAGGTTTTCAGTGTGTCCAACTAATTAGTAATGCAAACTATAGATAATGACAGTCAGGCTAGAAAATCCGTACTTTTTACAGTCTCAATAACACTAGTGAGGCTCCCCCCATAGTCGTAACTTTCAAGGCAGTTATCTAAGCCATGTGTTCTTACTTGTTAAACATGTTTATAAACAATAGAAAGAAACTTATTATGTTTTTTTTTATTGGTGTATAGTTTTAAAAATTCTCTTAGTTGCCAGAAGCTGACCGACAATGATTACAGGCAAGGAAATTGTGGCCAAATTTGTACATCTGCTGCCAAAAAAATAACTAATAATATTTTTGTAGAGGAAATATGCTCTTTTTATTGGATATAAACATGTTTTGTAAGTAAGATAACTATTTGGGAGTAGCCTTGCTGACAGGTTTGGCAAATTTGTCGATAACTCAGCAAATTGAGAAGGTAGGAGGCTCAAATTTTATATTCTAGTTTCTATAGTTCGTTTTTTAAGTAGTTAGACTCTCTGAAAAATGTATTAGGAAAGACAGAAAATCTATAAGGGAGAATTCAGAGTGCAGATGCATTATATAGCATAGAGAAGTGAAGAATGATAATTTATATAAGTATTTCCTTTAGAAACTAAAACCTAAAACTTCAATAATATAAACATTTTAATTTATCATACATTTATTGATAATGTTATCATTTGATTAAAATTTGAATATAAATCTGTAAAAGTTTTTTTTACAAGTTCACTTTGGCCCACCTGTATGCATAAGCTAAATAACATGAAGTAAGGAATTGGTTTGTCATGATTTTCACAGTATTCTTAACACAAAGTATGGAATTTGTTTACTGTAGTATTTGTTGCTAACTGTAGCTTCTGTAATTCTTCTCTTTAGTATCACACTTGAAGTTTCCTGTTGCAGATTTTTATTAATTATTCTGTGGTTACACTTAGGCCATTACCAGATATCGAATGGAAGAAAAAAGGAGGGAACCTGGCAACTGATAGATTTACCTTCATCAACTATGGCAAGACTTTGAAGATACGTAAAGTAGACTTTGAAGATGAAGGAACGTACGAGTGCACAGCCAGTAATGGAGTGGGCAGTCAACAGACACATGCCATGGCTGTCACTGTACAAGGTTAGATTTCTATGCAGGTTGTTTCAGTATTTTATGTTGATTTTCATTACATATTATTTGTTTTGCTTTGTATAGTATTATATTAAAGAAATCATAATTTACTCACTTCATTGCTACCCAAAGTTCAGATACTAATAAAGGTATGAAAATCTGAGAAGTACAAAATTCTTAAGTGAGCAGATTTGTTTTCTAGTTTCATTAGGTTAACTCAATTAGTGCCCTAATTATCTGAATTTCTGTAGTACAAAAGTGAAGCTTTTTTACAGTTTAGTTAATATCCACTAATGAGTCAGAAAGGTTTAGTTTTTATTGTGTTTTGTTTTTATCTGGTTAATTCTCCCTTCTGGATCACATCTTCCAGTAACATGACTGGTTGGGATGAGTCAGTAAGATTTAATTTTTATTGTGTTTTGTTTTTATATTATTAATTCTCCTTTTTGGATCACATCTCCCATAACATGACTGGTTGGGATGAGTCAGTAAGATTTACTTTTTATGTTTTGTTTTTATCTTGTTATCTTGGTCCCTTCTCAATCACATTATCCAGTAACATGACTCTGGTTGGGATAAGTAAGATTTAGCTTTTATGTTTTGTTTTTATCTGGTTATCTTGGTCCCTTCTCAATCACATTATCCAGTAACATGACTCTGGTTGGGATAAGTAAGATTTAGCTTTTATGTTTTGTTTTTATCTGGTTAGCTTCTCCCTTCTGGATTACATCTCCCACTGACACGAGTGCAGCTGAGGAAGAGTCTGTAAGGTTTGAGTGTAAAGCAACTGGTGTTCCTGAGCCAAAGCTCCAATGGCTTGTAAACGGTGTACCAATAGAAGGTAAGGTAGTTTCTACCAATGATGTTGTAAATGGTGTAGCAATAGAAGGTAAGGTAGTTTCTACCAATGATGTTGTAAATGGTGTAGCAATAGAAGGTAAGGTAGTTTCTACCAATGATGTTGTAAATGGTGTAGCAATAGAAG